TACTGCTGTAGCGTAAAAGAAAAATCCGTTTAAGCAGGCTAGTAAGTTCTCGACGCGTGACATTGTGCGCTATCTGTCGTGCTCGGAGGGAGAGTCGTGTTAACAGGTCTAGTAAGTTATCACGCTTTGGACATGTCATGTCTGTCGCGTGACTGCGAGGGAAGGTCGTGTTTACACAGGCTAGTAAGTTGCTCACGCGTGGACATGTCGCTAGCTGCGTCCTGACTGCGGAGGGAGAGGTGCGGTGTTTAACAGCTAGTAAGTTCTCACGCGTGACATGTCGCTACTGTCGCGTGAAACTGGGGAGGGAGAGTGCGTGTTTTTAACAAGCTAGTAAGTTGTCAAATATAAATGTCGCTACAATAGAGTAAGTGGCTGCGGAGGAGAGGTCGTGTTTAACAAGGCTTAGTAAGTTTCTGCACGGCGTGACCATGTCGTGTTCCTGAGTACCAGTGGCTGCGGAGGGCGAGGCGTGATTAAACAAGGTTAGTCAACAGTTCTACCACAAGCGTGACCCAATGATCGTGTCTAGTCCGTGTACTGGCGGAGGTAGAGTCGTGTTTAAACAGGACTAAGATAAGAATTCTCACGCCGTGACATGATCGCTTACTGTCCGTGAACTGCGGAGCGGAGAGGAACAATTAGGGAGATATAAGATATAAGTTATAACGCGTGAATGTCGCTACTGTCCGTGGAACTGCGGAGGGAGAGGTCGTGTTTAACGAGGCAGTAAGTTTTCACGCGTGACGAGTCGCGTCTGTCCGTGACTGCGGAGGGCAGGAGGGGTTGTGTTAAGTAATGAAGAGTATAGGCGCGTGCGCTTGGCTCGCTTATATATATGCGACCAAGAGCTGATAATATATGTATTATGAGCTATTGATGCGACGTTACCGCGTGTAACACACCTGGATTACGTATACAGGTGCATTGATTAGGTGACGATAATGTCACCTGTGAGCCGTGCGGAGTTAGCCCTGCGAGAGGGAGGAGAGACAGCCAGGTGTCGAATTGCGTGAAGGTGATATAAGATAGGCACACTGTAGAGTAAGGGAAGGGCGAGGGCGGGAGAGGGAGTGAGAGAGAAGGTGTGGGGGGAGGGGAGGCCCGGGTGCCTAATCGCGTGAGTGCAATATGAGATAGTGACATTGCAGAGTAAGGGGAGGGCGAGGGCGGGAGAGGGAGTGAGAGAGAAGGTGTGGGGGGAGAGGAGGCCCGGGTGCCTAATCGCGTGAGTGCAATATGAGATAGTGACATTGCAGAGTATGGGGAGGGCGAGGGAGGGAGAGGTAGAGAGAGAGAGAAGGTGGGGGAGGGAAGAGGAAGCACCAGGTGACTGCGTAAATATCATATCAGAAATACACTGCAATGTAAGGGGAAGGCGAGGGAGTGAGAGGGAGTGAGAAGGACGGTGGGAGAGGGGAAGGGGAGGCCCAGGCGACTGATTGCGTGAATATGCTATAAGAAAGGCACACTGCAGAGCAAGGGGAAGGCGAGGGAGGGATAGCTCGTGAGAAAGAAGGTGGGGGAGAGAAGAGGGGGCCCCATGTGATTGCATGACGGTGTGATAACACAGCTTCGACATCGCAGTGTAAGAGGGAGAGAGGGAGGGGAGCGGGATGCCCATGTGATTAATTACGAGGCGGTGAAATAACGAGGAACGACCCTGCAATGAAGGGGGAGGGGAGGGAAGGCAAGGAGGAGGGAGGAGACGGTAGCCCCAGGTGATTCATTACGCGATCGGAAGCTTATCTGGGGAGTGATGCGGTGCAAGGGGCGGATGGTAGCGCTAAGGTGGGCGGGAATGTGCTCTTATCTTCTCCCAGGTGCGTGATTGCATATAGAGGTCATGCATGCGCTCCTGTGCGCAGATAACCGGAGCCGCGTGCGAAAGGAGACAGCGTGCGAACTACCGTGTGCGTCTGCCTAACTATGGTCTCGCCGTAGAAAGCGGAGGGAATATAGGTGTGTGTGTGTGTGTGTGTGTGTGTGTGTGCGTGTGTGTGTGTGTGTGATGTGTGTGTGTGTGTGTGTGTGTGTTGTGTGGTGTGTGTGTGTGTGTGTGTGTGTGTGTGATGCGGTGCGTGCGTGCGCGTGTGGGTGCGCGTGTGTGTGTCGTGTGTTTTGTTTTACCGAGCGTGCGTGCGTGCGCACGGTGTGCACGCGTGTTGTTTGTTTAACAGAGAGCGAGCGGTGCTTTTGCGTTATGCGTGTGATGTACCTATCTGAGTCAGAGGTCACGGGGCACTCATGTCTACGTGTCATCCTCCTTCTGGCGAGCCTGCGTATCGTCATGGCGACCGATTCCGCAGATGCTCTCGTGTCATACAGCGGACGCCCGATCACACACACACGCACGCGCCGCACGCACGAACACAGCACGCTGCGCGCACGCACACACGCAACACACACCACGACGTACACGCAAGCACACATGCACACACTCTCGGTACCGCGGACGCACGCACACACACACACACACGCACACACCACAAAACCACCACGTAGAACATACACACACTCGCGCGCGTATTTCTCTCAGACCCGACTTCTGGCTCTGCCGCAGACGACGGTTCCGCCTATATACTATGATGGTCATATCAGGGGAAAAAATGATAGGTATACACGTTCCGCTATCATTGGAAACATGTTTAAACGGAGGAGAAACGAGGAGATGGAGAGAAAAACAGGGTAAGAGGTCAGATAGAACGGAGTTAGAGATGGAAGGAGGAGAGGCAAGGAAGAGGGTGGGAGAGGGATAAAAAAGAGGGAAACACACGCATACGCTCTCACACACAGAAATACGAAAAGATAAGCGAGAGAAAGAGAGAAAGAGGAGAGCAGAGACAGCTAGTGTGAAGGTGGGAGGTAGGGAGGAAAGGAGAGAGAGTGAAGATATAGAGGAAGAGAAGAGGCGATGAGAACGAGGGGGTGAGGAGCAGAGAGAGCGAGAGAGAGAGAGAGAGGAGAGGAGGAGAGAGAGAGAGAGAGAGAGAGAAGAAGACGAGAGAGAGAGAGAGAGAGAGAGAGAGAGAGAGAGGAGAGAAAGAGAGAGAGAGACGAGAGAGAGAGAGAGAGAGAGAGAGGAGAGAGAGAGAGTAGAGAGAGAGAGAAGAGAAAGCGAGAGGGTGAGAGAGAGAGAGAGCGAGAGAGAGAAAGAGAAAAAGAGAGAGAGAGAGCGAGAGAGGTGCGGGTAAGAAAGAACCCGAGAGCAAGCGTGGCCGGCCATGTGGTCACAGGCGATGATGATCATCATGAGGTTTGTGCGGTGATCTTACCCCCACGTGCGCCGCGGGTGTGTTTTTTTATAACAGCACACTCTCGGCTCGCGTTTCTTCGCGCACGCCGATGACACCACCACCACACGGGTTACGAATTTTATACGGGTCTCAGTGCGGTGCCTGGCCGTGCAGGCAGGCGTGCGGTCCGTCTCGCGCGCGCACATGCTCGTGTCGTTGGGCAAGACAACAGTTTTCTTCGGTCACGGCTCGGGCGAGCGAGCGTCTGTGGCCGTGATAATAGCCGGCTGTATCGATTTCATTGGCGTAATCGCGAGCGTCTGTGTTTTTTCATCTAAAATTGAGACGAGGTGGCAGGATCGGCCGATAACTGCTTGTTATGTACGGTAGAAGGCGAGTCGCGAGGCAATTCGGACGCTGATGGTGAGTGAGATGTCTATATGGTAGGTTACGGGTACGGGTACGGGTACAAACTCTCAACTCGGGCGATGTGAAACCCTTGAAACCGTATATGATGACCGTAAACTGATTTACATCTATAACCGTGCAGCAGGAGTAACGATGCCATCTGTCGTAATGAAAACTAAACGAGCGATATGTGTTATTATACATCGGCGACATAAGAGAAGCTCCCCCGTCCCCCAGCACGGTAGAGCGTAGTCAAGCTGCGTAATGTTATCAGGGGTGTATAATATATAGATATATCTATGTTATACACTCCTGATGTTATAGTACGCGTGCGTGCGTGCGCGTGCGTGCATGTACGTGCGCCTACGTGCGTGTGCGTGCGCGTGTGAAGCCAAAGCTATTTACACTTACTAGCCGGCCTTCATTAACTGCGATGCGCATCATCCGAGCATCCCGTCTCTGTTTTTCACCCGTCAGCACCGCAAGATTACGACGCTATGATGCTAATTAATGTTGCCGTGCAGCCTCCCTCCAGCGCGCCTCGAGCGCTTTAATTGCTCGTGTAATCTACGGCTACATAGTCTCGTCGCAGACCGCGCGAGGCCAGCCGGTGGCGTGATGTGATGAAGTGTTTCTCGTGAGTTAGTAGTAAGGCGCATTCTAGCTGCTTAGCAATGCAGTTGCTAAAGTTGATACTAGTGTGCTTAAGCGACACTTGCTACTACTTGCTGCCTACTAAGCGACTACTAAGCGACACTTGCTAGCCTATCTGCTGCTGCTTGTTACACTGGCGTATACACTAGCGTATTTGGGTGACACTACCTTGTCTTCCTGCTGCGGTTTACAGTGGCGTATATGCTATAGTTGACACTAGCGTACCTGGGTGACACTACCTTGTCTTTCTGCTGCGGGTTACACTGGCGTACATGGGTGACACTACCTTGTCTCTCTGCTGCGGTTTACAGTGGCGTATATGCTATAGTTGACACTAGCGTACCTGGGTGACACTACCTTGTCTTCCTGCTGCGGTTTACACTGGCGTATATGCTAAAGTTGACATTAGCGTAGCTGGGTGACACTACCTGGCTTACCTGCTACGGTTGACACTAGCATACCTGGTTAACAATACCTGACGTAATTGACGTAAATGTTGCTACGGTTGACAACCAGGCGTACTGGTTAGCGACATCTGTCGTGCCTGCTGCGGTTGACGTCAGCATACCAGCACTGATTGGCTCTAACGTACCTAGCTAACAACACCTGCCGTACATGCTACCACTAGCGCACCTGGCTTATAATAATTAGTTATATTAGTTAATACAGTGTTTCACGCGGGTGCCGCTTGCTGCCTTTCAGGAGGTGCTACACATGGCACCCGTGGAGGTGCAGTTGGCAGGCTGCCAATCTTTCCTCTCGATCCTGGAGAACGAGATTCTGCCCCACACGGTAGAACATAACACACGAGCTTTTCTACAAGCATCCATATGAGCCGATGCGTCGATAGCTAAGACCCCAAGGTTACGTATATTGCTCGGTGTGTGTGTAGGTGTCGGGTGTGTGTTGTGTGTTTGTGTGTGTGTGTGTGTGTGTGTGTGTGTGTGTGTGATGTGTAGTGTGTGATGTGCTGTGGTTGTTGTGTGTGTGTGTGTGGTGACTTGTGTGGTGTGTGTGGTGCCTATGTTGCGTGCGTGCGTGCGCGTGCGTGTCGTAGTGTGTGCTGTGTGCGTGGCGTAGGTGCGGGCGGGTCGTGTGTGTTCGGGTACGGCATGTCTGTGCGCTTGCGCGTGTGTGCGTGTGTGTGTGGCGTCGTGTGTGTCCGCTAGCGCCACTACTGTGTCGTCCGTGCCAACCGTCGCGTCCTTGTAGTGGTGGGTAGAGAGGACGTAGCATAGCCTCGCTGTCGTATGGTTGTCTCTCTCTCTCGTCGTTCATTCGCTGCCATGCATTACGAGGCGATAGCACGTCGCTGTCATGCATTTGTTTGCGAATATCTAATGTAAATTTTCCTATCGGGAAGTAGCACCTTAATTGTGGATCACGTGCGTATTGACGACGATAACACAATAATATCAAATGATCAGCGCTAGAATCAATATTTTATCACACCGCGCAGCTCGCTTGCAAAATCTTCTCTCTTTCTCTGCGTCAAAATAAGAGCCTGAAAACGTGCCTAGATGATTCTGCTCCGCCGCAGGCGTGGCTGAGGCGAAGGTCGGAGAGTAGGTGGGGTAAAAAAGATCGGGGGACGATTACGTTGACATAATGCGTATAAAAGCCCTGCCGCGCGCTCTAAGGTGCCCTTTTAAGCAGTGTTTTGGGTTGTCGTGATGACGTGCCGTGATCGGCGTGTGTGGCGGGTGGCACGCAACGCCGCGTAACAGCATCTGCATTCATTAACAATTGAAAGCATTTTCGGGCGGGAGATCGATGGCGTTAGTATCCGTTTCACGGCTGGTCGCTTGCGTGGGCGTGCGTAGTGCGTGCGTGCGTAGGTGCGCGCGTGCGCGGCTCCCAGAGTGTGTTGTGGATGTAGTATACGTGTGGTTCAGTGCGAGGGCAAGCTGAAACGTTGTGTGGTGCGCTTGCGGCTCTGTGTAGGCAGACGTGCGTATCACGTTGTAATGCTGCCGTTGTTTGTTTTAGCACGAAGGCGAAAGAGAGAGAGGGGGGTAGTGAACGAGCGAGAGGTGAGAGAGAGAGAGGAGAGAGAGTAGAGAGAGAGAGAGAGAGAAGAGAGAGAGAGAGAGAGAGAGTGAGATAGTGAGATATGGGGAGAGCGCGCGAAGGGGAGGAGAGAGAGGGAGAGACGGGAGAGCGAGAAGAGAGAGAGAGAGAGAGCGAGACCGAGAAAGATAGTGAAGATAGAGAGAGAGCGGGGAAAGAGGAGAGGAGAGAGAATCAGTGAGAAGAAAAGAGAGAGAGAGAAGGGATGAGAGAGCGAGAGACGAGAGAGAGAGAGGAGAGAGAGAGAGAGAGAGAAGAGAGAGAGAGAGAGAGAGAGAGAGGAAAGAGAGGAGAGAGAGAGCGCCCGCTGCGGAGAGAGCGAGGAGAGAGGAAGAGAGAGAGAGAGAGAGAGAGAGAGAGAGAGCGAGAGAGAGTGAGATACTGAGATAGGGAGAGCGGCCGAAGGGGGAGAGAGAGGAGAGAGCGAGAGAGCGAGAGAGAGAGAGAGAGAGAGAGACAGAGAAGATAGTGAGAGGAGAGGGGCGGGAAGGAGAGAGAGAGAGAGTAGTGAGAGAAGAGGAGAGAGAGAGCAGAGGGATAGAGAGAGCGAGAGGAGAAGAGAGAGAGAGAGAGAGAGAAGAGAGCGAGAGAGAGAGAGAGAGAGAGAGCGGCGCGGGAGAGAGAGAGAGAGAGAGAGAGAGAGAGAGAGAGCGAGAGAGGGAGCGGAGAGAGAGATATATAGTGAGCGAGAAAAAAGGTATCAAATTAAGCTAACCGCTTGGCTTCACGTGTGAATATAGACGTTTCATCGTTGTGTTTATCACTAAGCGTGGATTCACTGCTTGTTGAATGGGATGCGATGAAGCAGCGAGGCTCCGGTTTTTTATCAGCGAGCGTTGCTAAGGCATATTGTTGTTAGCCAGTGTAAAGAGAGAAGCCAGTAAGGTGCGGAGATTGTGCCTACAGTCGATTGTAACGCTGTCATTGTTAGGCTGCGTGCGTGTGAGGCGTGCGTGCGTGAGGGTGTTTGAGTGCGTCGTGTGTGAGTGCGTAACGTGTGAGTGCATGCGTGCGTGGCGTTGCGTGTGTGATTGCATGCGTGCGTGCGTGAGTGCGTGGCGTCGAGTTTTCGTGCGTGCGTGCGTGAGTGCGTCGTGCGTGCGTGTGTGTGTCCTTTCTGTATCTTTACGTGTGTGCGGTGATGCCTCTGTGTCTGTAGGCGAGCGCGGTGTGCGTGAGTGTATGTGTCGTTGCGTGTGTGTTTGCGACTGTGGGCGCATGCATGCATGCGTCGCGCCGTATGTGTGTCAGTGCCATGCGCGTCTATTTGTCTGTCTTGAGTTGTGCCGATGATATGTACGTGGGTGCGTGGGCGTGCGTGGTGCGTGCGTGGTGCGTGGCGTGGCATGTTTTGTACGTGGGCTTCGTCGTGCATGGCGTGTGTGAAAGAGGGGCGGCGTATTTGCAGGACGACGCGTTGGAGTAGGGCAGCCGGCTGATTAATAGGCTACCTGGTGTCTGTATAGGCTGTGTATCTGCGGTATATGCAGACGTACCTCATACTCGTGCGCGTGCTGATTGTGTAAGTCTGCGTGGCTAGATGTGGTGGGTGAAGGATGAGTGGTGAGGGATGCGTTAATGTGTGTCGGAGCCTGAACATGGGCACGGGAATGTAGTCTCCTTACTGTGTAAACGCGCAGGCAGACAAGTGTGTTTTCTCTGAAAACATATTAACGCGTGCAGAAATGATGAGCAGCATAGATACGAGTGCAAAGTCGGCCTTGGTACATGGTAATCGCTGTGCTGCTGCTGCTGTGGCTTGCTACTGCGCTGGTGGTGGTAGTGTGGTGCATGGTGGTGGTGGTGCTACTGCTGCTGCTGCTGTTGTGTCGTGGTGCTGCTGCTACTGTGGTGGGTGATGCTACTCGTGCTGCTGCTGCGCTGGTGCTAGCTGCTGCTGCCTGCTGCTGCTGCTGCTGTGGGTGGTGGTGGTGCTGCTGCTACTGTGGTGGGGTAGGCTGCTGCTGGTGGTGTATGGTGGTGGATGGTGGTGTGTGGCTATGCTGCTGCTAATGTGGTGGTGGTGCTGTTGCTGCT